AGTTGAGTTAAAAAGAAATGAGTTCAATTAGTGATGTTGTCTCATGCATGTGGGTTTACAAACTGGATATTAAGATTACGTTTCTTGGTCTTGAATATTATTAACATCTGGAAGAGAAGACGATGAAAAAGAAAGAGAAAAGTAGTGAAGGAGAAGAAATGGAGAAGACTGGAAAGAATAAGAAAAGCAAAGGGAGAAGAAGAAATGGAGAAGACGAAAAAGAATGAGAAAAGCAAAGGGAGAAGAAGAAGAGAAAGAAAAGGGTCAGTGGAAAAATTAGATGATGAAAGAGAAATGGTCAAATGGAGAAGAATAAGACGAAGAAGAAATAGAAGATTGGAGAAGAAAAAAATTACGATTCTACCCTTTGAAAGTTTAATTAGGTATTAACCATTTAAAATTCGGGTTATAAATCGGGTAACCAAAAATCAACCCAAATATTCGGGTATCCGGATTTTCGGGTGTCATAAAAACCGATTCGGTTTTCAGGTACCCCGAATATTTGGGTACCTAATTAAACTGGCAAAACCGGTTCAGATACCCGGTTTTGCATAGCCCTAATTATGACGTCGCTATTTACTTTATGCAATAAAAATGAACATTTTGTTGCGGTATATCATAGGCGAGCAAAATTCACATTTCGTCATAGTGTACATTAGACGACACAAACACACATCTCGTCGCGTTATAGTGTCGGCGACATAATAGATAGTATGTCACTATTGACATTAGGTGATGACAACTAATATTTCACCGATAAATAGTTTTAGTGATGAAAATGGTGTAGGCGACAATGCTTTGGTTTGTCGCCCGATTCAGCGACAAATTTTAACAAATCGTCGCCTAAAATAAAGTGCGACACACCTACCACGATGATCTTGGCAATGATTTTCATTCATCACTAAACGTATACCGCAACAATTTCCAGATTTTTAGCAATGAAAAAATTCGTAGCTAAAAACCCTTTTTGTTGTAGTGGATCACATCGATTCTTGGTTTATTGAAGGATCTGAATTTGCAAGTGGAAACACCAATCAAGCTATATTGTGACAACAAGGCAGCAAATGACATTGCAGCCAATCCAATTTTTCATGAAAGAATGAAACACATAGAGATATTGACTACCACTTTGTTAGAGATAAAATACAAGAAGGTATGATCAAAACAAAGCATATCCGAACCACAGATTAACCTGTATATATCTTCACAAAGTCGTTATGTCAACATTCACATCTATTAGCCAAGCTCATAGTTTATGACATTTATAAATCATGAGCTTGAGAGGGAGTGTTGACATTTAGATGATGATACACACAATAAGCGTCGAGATTATATGGAGGATTTGTTGTAATCAAGATCATAACATAAATAGCAACATTATATTATTTCCTTTTGTATATTGATTATGTAATTATTTCACTTATTTGTTTCCTTACTAGTTACATTCTATTTGTATAAATTAGGACAAATGATACATGAAATATATAACAAGCACTTTACCTTATTTACATTGCTTTATTTTCTATTTCTCTTAGGCACTCTCTGCAACTTGTTGCTTCTCTTGCCTCTCCAGCATCTTCCTAGCATTCTTCGACAGCACAACTGCCTTTATTGCCACTTCCTTTCCAGATTGTTAAAATTTGTATTCAAACACTTCACTTAGATGTTTAATATCTTTGGTATTTTGTTTTTGATATGTTCATATATGTACTGTATTTATGTAAGTCACTTGCTATTCTCATATTGAAATTTGAGTCTTAGTTATTATATTTTTAAAGTTTGATAATCTTATTTTCAGGGAGAGAATAGTGAGGATGAATACGAATTTCACTTCACTCAGCATATTGAAATTAGTGACGTATTCAAAGCTGGAGGTTCCTAGTTTCATACACTTCCCCAACCCCAACCCCAACCTTAAGACCTTGCACCTTGCGGTCGATTTTCCCGATGATCGACCCGCCCAACAACTCTTCTCTAGTTGTCCAGTTCTACAAGAGTTGGTTTTAATCAATTGTAACTGGAAGCATACAAAGAGAGTCACCATTTCTATTCCCACTCTAAGGCAATTAAGTATTTATGAAAATGGCTGTCCAGAAGATTACCCTTCTACAGATCAATTTGATACTCCCCTTGGTTGTGTGGTCTTGATTTATGCAGAAAATCTTCAGTATTTTGATAGCTCGAGTTATTTGACTGTTGAAGTATCATTGTGTAACATATATTCGATAGCCAGTGCTAGGGGCGGAATATATTTTATATACAGATATAAAGTTTCTATGTTTATATATAGGATAATATTACATGTATAAAAAAACTTACAAAGATTTCTTATATAAAATGATGTGACAAGAGATGAACGAAAAAGTGAATATAATGAGTTTAATTTTTTGTATTCATTCTTTCATTAATCTCTTATCACATCACTTTATACAAAAAAAAATTCGTGCATCTAATATTATTGTTATATATAATAAGTTCTATAATTACTCATTAAACATTTACCTTGTGGATTACAACTTTTAAGTTATGTATTGTTACAATATATATTTAAAGTATCATGGTAGAAACTTCTATTAAACAAATACAAATTAACTTTGAGAGAAAAGATTAAAAAAAAAAATTGTTATTAAATTTTTATTATTTTTGTATTTCAGGCAGTTAAAATTTAATCTAATTTGCATAATTAATTACATTATTGATGACACACTAATTAATTTATTGTTAATTATTTCAAGTGTTTTACTAATCAAAAGGATATATCAAAAAGAAAAAAATAAAGAGAGACAAAAAATGGTAAGACATTTTATAAAATATAAAAAACTTATAAAGAATACAAGAATTAAATCAATAAAATATAAAAATATAAAATAAATAAGAACCTAACTTAATATTTTTACACTAATTTTTAGAACATATTTCATTAGGTGTTAATATGGTGGGGTGGCCAATAAAATTATTCTTTTACTTATTATATATAATACTTTTACTCAAAATAAGGAATTATTCTTTGGTCAGGACTAAGGGGTGGTCATGGCCATCTCAGGCCAAAGAATAGCTCTGCCCATGGCCGATGCACATATTAACGTTCAAGACTTTTACGATATGATAGAGGACCGCATCCCAAGAGTCCTGAAACTAATTAATGGAATTCACAGAGTTAAATCTCTTATTTTATATCGTGATACTCTCCAGGTTTCGTAAATTATTTTTCTTTATCAATTATTCGTAGATGGGATGGCCTTTTGTTATCTATTATATTTAATTCTATGGGGAGACATAATTGTGAGATTGAATTTTTCTTTCTTATTTTCAAAGTTTTTCTCAAAAAGAAGATAATCTAGAAACTCGTCTGCCTATCTTTCACAACTTGATTTATTTGGAGGTGGAACAGACATTGAGTTGTGATGAAAGTTTAGTGTTGACATATTTTCTTCATAAATCGTCTAATCTGGAATCTCTTGATGTATCAAGGTAACAAAAATTAAATTTGAATGAATGAGCGCATAAAATATCCTCAATACAAAGTACACCTGCTCTTGAAAGGTAAGAACGAAGTAATTATTTTATGCTGAGTGATTTAGAGGGGAAAAAGCTAATAAGTTCTTATGATGTACTGCAGCAGCTACCCATAAACTAACACTCATCTTCGAATATATGAACGCTCGTGAAAGCAGAGTAATCTTTCCACATAATTGAAGAAGCCCTTGTTCACAATACACAAGTTGGCAGAGAAGAAATAATGTGAAGGAGGATATTGTAAGGTAAGTTGCTGATTATATCTTCTGTGTTAACTGCATTTTCTCCAATCAAAATACCCAAGTGTCATATCTAAATCAGAAACCCTATATTTATTGGAAAATAAACCCTTTTAAAATCCCTTTTATCTCATATGACCCTCTCGCTTTGTTGAAGGATGGAATGGAATTACATTACTATATAAAAGAAAAAATAAACTTTTATTTCAAACTATTATATGCTTAAATACAAAACCTAACCCTAAATCTATTTCTAATTTGTTTAACGGGTTAAAAATTGAAGAAAATAGCTTACCTCTTATATAGCTTATAATGAATCCCAAAATAAAGAAATGAAAAATAAAGATCTCATTTCTAAAATTGTATGAAGACTATAAAGTATAAAGACTTTTAGAAGATGTCACTTATCAAATGTCTTTCCCTCTACCATTATACATGAAATATAAAAGAGTTTCAAAAAATAAACCCAGAAGAAATCACTATAATTTTACTTTATAGTCTTTATACATTATAGTCTTCATACAATTTTACCTGCAATTTCTATGAATCAATCTCTTCATGCATGTTGACCAAATTCTCCATTACAGATTTAAACATCAGTAGCATTGCCATCGACTTCGTCGTCTCTATAATCACTACCCAAATCATCCAATATCCAGGTGGAAGAAAACCCAGAAAAATTCAAATTAATTAGGCCAACTGCAACCCGCCACATGATCAACATATAATCTATACCGAATCACATGAGTCAACCTTTTGGGCTCCCTAGGTCTTGTCCTCGGATCATACAAGCTAGGAGCAAGGGACATTCTACAGTTGCCACATTCTCCTGAAACTTGGAGTGAATGGTAAGCTTCGGTGACACACTTTGGTAGATAAACCAGAAGTCCAAGGTGAGTCGAACTTGTTAATGAACCGGGTAACAGATCTCAGCATCCATGTAGAGGGCATGACCCGATAGGTCCTAACCATACCATTTAGTCAAAGTACTCGTGGAACAAAGACAAATATATTTACAACTCATTCTAGTAAATAAAGAAATCAAAGGTACTTTCTAAACTAGTTGACTCAGCAAATCTTCAATTTTCATTTAATATTTTGTTTTGGTTGATCCATTTGAATAAATCAACAATTCTATATTTCAGCATGCTTCAGGGGTTTAGTCTATGAAAGATTTAAAATGATTAACTAATAGCTTTAACCAACAGAAGAAAATTTGCAAAAACACAAATATATTAATTCCAAGAACCATGCAACTAAGATACACCAAATGTAGTCTATCAATTGCCTTAAACATAACAAAATATTAAATCCCTGATCATATTATAATCAAATTATAATACTAACAACTTCTGAATTACCATCCCACCCCTCACGAAACTCAATTTCAACATTCCTTGTTCCTTTGCCAATTACTTGTAATTGATAGTTGATCTCCTTCTTCATCTTCAAATATTCCTCCAACTCATTAGGACAAAAGATTGTAACCCTCTCCATTGAGTCCGCATTCTCAAATAAATATCTTAAATTTTTCAAGTCTCCGTCCACCCAACATTTAATACTGGCAGTTTTGAGGAAACGTTTCAAATACAATGGTGCAACATGCATTACCCAGTCATTCACAGCAAAGTAAAATTCCTTCAAAAAAATCAATTATTATTTATTTAAGGTAAGAGAAAACCAATATAAAAAGACCACGTATTGGAAAATTCATACTTACCTGCCAAACATCAAGAAATTCTACATTAGGTGATTTTTGAAGAAAATATTTAAACATATAACTTCCATCTTCACACAAGAACTCTGCATTCATCTTCAAATGAGTCAAGTTGTGAAAAACAGGCAGACCAGCTTGAAGTTTTAGATCATTTCTATCAGCCAAAAACTTCAGAACAAATGAAAAGAAAAGAATTAATCTCAAGAATGAAAGGTCAGATTAAAGAATTGAACATAATAAACAACAAAAGGTTCAACAAATAGTTGTTCAAGAAATGGTGATTTACCTCAATAGTAACACCCGACAAAGCAAGAGATTTTACATTGCGAATTCCATTTATTAATTTGAAAGCTCGTTGAGTACCATTGTCTTTCTCCATGCCACAGTCTAACACATTAATACGCGCATTGACTAGTGAAGCTAAGTTACACAGAGAGACTTCCACAGTCAAATAACCCTTGACATCAAGTGACATAAGATTTTCAGCATAAATCATGACCACACAATCAAGGACAAGATTATAGTCCGAGTAATAGCTATCTTCCAAAAACTTAAATTCCCTTAGAGTGGGAATTGAAAGGGTGACTCTCTTAGAATGCTTCCATGCACAGTTCAATAAAACCAGCTCTTGTAAAACTGTACAACCAGCGAAAAATTGATTGGTGGATTCATCAACCGGAAATGCTAGTTCTCTAAGGTGTAAGGTCTTAAGGTTGGAAAAGTGTACGAAACTAGGAACATTGAAAATTGAATATATCCGTAATTTCAGTATTCTAAGTGATTCAGCAGTGAAAAGACCATTGGGCCACACAAAGGGTGTTTCAGAAGATATATCGAGATGGAGCTCTTGAACCTCACGACTTAATGCTAAAGATACCCAAGAATTAATACGAGATGAACTGATACCCATACACCTTGCCACCAAACTAAGTTTTCGTATACATGTGGGATCATGATCCTTAAGTACTCGTTCCATGGAATCCAAGAAGCTAGTCTCAATGTTTTCCTTCATCCCCGACATGTACCCAGCACTATACTGATCAAAATCAATGTTAGAAATAGAGGTCCAAAGGTATCTCCATCTCGTTGACAACACAGAAGTTATTAAAACATCTTTGATTGGCAGAAAGAATGTAAAGGAGGATATGGTCAGGTAATTTGCTGATTAGATCTTCTCCAATGAAAACTTTCTGGGTTTTGGAAATAGATGGTGGATTTAGAGCGCCCATCTGCACAATTTTCTCACCCTGAATTAAATAATTCATTAAGAAGATGGTACTAATTAGAGTTCTTCTACTACTAACAGTAACATATTATTTCACAATTTCATCACTATATAAAATACCCAAGTCTTTGATCTAAATTACAAAGAATTTAAATTCGATAACCCTCAATTTGTTATTGCTGAAGCATATCTAAAAGAGAAAACCAAATATCCACCAAACATAACTCAGATATTAACAAATGTGAATAAGAATGAAGCGTACCTTAGTGGAAGAAGAAGAAATGTCAAGCTATTCCCTTCGATTCCCCCAACAAAACTTAAATAGAAACCACGTCGCTTGTAGAAGCCTTGTAAAAGCAATTCAAAAGTTACAATCACCAACAGACTCCAAACTGTGGCAATTCACACCTTCACTTTTCAATAAATGACATTTTGTTCCTTTCATCATATGAATAATATTAGATGTGTAAATCGATGTGTCAATTAATTTTGATATAAAATATTAGATTAAGAAAACCTAAATTATAATTCTCTTCACATAAAAATAGTAAAGAAAAATAATTATTGATTGAGAATCAAATTAAGCCAACATAATATACACCACTAAAATGTTGCAAAAGTTTATTTAAATGTGTTCATTAAACATTTGCGGAATTAGTTGATTGTGTTTGTTAATGTTTGGAGGAATGGTCATTCAACATCAACACACTATCAAGCATAAAAGATAGCCTGTTTGGTAGATTTTTTGAAAACTGTAATTTTAAAAAACTATTTAAGTTGAGTTGAGTTGAATTAAATTGAATATGATAAGATTCTCAAAATGCGGTTGATATAATATCTTAAAATTATATTAGTGTTTGAAAATATTTTATAAAAATATTTAGATTATTTTAGCTCCCTCCATTTGTTAATTTAGCTAAACACCCCCACAATAAAAATTTAAAAATTAACAAAAACACCTCTATCCACCCAAACTAACGACAGCCGACATTCGTCAAAATGGGGCACAATCGATTGAATTTGGTCGGTCGTGCATCAATCTGGCCTTTTCCAACCAAATCCACCATGGATCTGGCTAGAAACGACCAAATCTACGGTCAAAATCTGGTAATTAACGATGGCAAAAATTTGGCCGTTGTTAACGATTGGATTTGGCCAAAATCTGACTAACAATGATCAGATCTCTAGTAAGAAACAGCTAAATCAACGCATGATCAGCAAGATCTAGTCGGTCATGTGTCGTTTTGGCGGCGGCGACGACGACTGGTGGTTGCTGGCAGTCGGCAGTGGTCTTGGGTGGATGAATTTTCAGATTGGGAGGAGTGAAAGGTAATTGTTTTTAGTTGAATAGAGTTGGAAAAATGATTTGAGTTGAATAGAATATGATAATAGAAAACAAATACCCCCTATTTTTATTTTCAATAGAAAAAATCTTATTTCATTCGGATTAATTTTCAAAATAATAATCTCAATAAGTAAACAAACACATATTATGTTTTTTAATCCAAATAGGATAACAAAAAAAAAAAAAAAAAAATGATTCAAAAGAGTGAAACAAACCGGGGCATAATGTAAAGCACATGAGAGATTTTTACAAGCTAAAAATCATTTTAGCCTACATCCATGAGACTAAGTCTAAATTAAGCAAATTCACTATAGCAAACACGTTCTAAGTCAATACATAGTCGAAATTAAGTACAACAATTGCAAACAACTCCCTGTTCCACAGAACTTTGTGCATTAAACATTTGAAGAATAGGCTAATTGTGTTCGTTAATGCTTGGAGGAATGGTTATTCAACATTAACACAATATCAAGCATAAAAGATTATAAAGTAAAGCACACCAAAGATTTTTACATGGTTAAGCTAAAAGCCATTTTAGCCTATATCCATAGGTTCAAGTCCAAATTAAGCAAATCCACTGCAACAAACACGTTCCAAGTCAATACAAAGTTGAAATTAAGTACAACAATTGTAAACAACTCACTGTTTTACAAGACTCTAATTCCACCTTTTGATTACTCTAACGTTCTGCTACAGATTGCCTAAGTCCAAGAATTCATTTGAACAGCTCGAGCTTCAATGGCCGAAATTTACTTTCAACACCACAACTTAAACTTCCTTCAAGCTTTCAACAAAAGAACCACGTTCTAACAAACACTCCACAACAAGATAAGTTCATCAAAATGTTGAGCAGTAAACAATATAAGGAACCTGACCAAATGAACAAACTCTGTAAGAAATTTCAAAGAACAAATAATGGAATATTCAGGTTCAATAAATGCAAGGAAGAAGATGATGAACATATATAATCCTTCGTTAACTAATCTCATCAATACACGTCCAGACAAACTCAACCAACCTTCATTGGACCACTAACATATTCTAACAACCTTGTTGGACCACTTTAGGACAAACAGACACTTGTAAAGTGACTTTTACCACAAGTTTCAAGGACAAAAATATATCAACAAGGCAAATAAAAATGTCACCTGTATTTTGAAATTTGATTCATAAAATGTTTACACAACTGATGAAAATGTGCACACATATTTGCAATATGTTCAGACAAAGGAGATGTATACACATAACTTTATAAGTTGACAAAAAACTTTACAATTATCTTATCATTGATTTATTTACTGACAAATCTATGATTCTTATTTACTAATTTTTTCCTCTCCAGAGTTACTAGCCAAATGATCCAATATCTCAGTTGTAGAAAACCCAAAAAAATTCAAACCAACTTGCCACGTGATAAGTCATAATTTGAGACCAAATCATATGGCTTAAGCTTTTGAGTTCCCTTGGAGTTACAAGTGGGTGCAAATGACATTCCATTCCACACACTGTGGCTAGCCACACATTCCAGGGGTTAACTATAAATTGTATTCTGACCTGAATAAAATGAGTAATTGCCGTTCTGGGTCTCTCTATATAGGGAGTTGCTTTGGTAATTGGTTAGGCGGAGAAGCCTTGGGAAGCAAGAGAGTTGTTTCACTTTAAAATCTCCTTGAAGTTAATTATGTCCATCAATTCATCAGTGCTGCATTTCAGATTTGAGATTTTGATTTTGAATGTAAGATCATTATTCATTAGTTTGAAAAACACAAATAAATCAATTCCAAGAGCCATTCAACTGAGATACATCAAATGCAGTCACCAATTGCATCAATTTGCATTAAATTATACCAAAAAAAACGTACGAAACTTAACTATAACGTCTGTTGTTCCCTGGCGAATTAACTGTAACTGATGCTTAATCTCCTTCTGCTTCTCTAAATCTACTGCTAAGTCCTTTGGAAAAAAGATTTTAACCTTCTCCAGCATGACCGCATTCTCAAATAAATATTTTAAAAACTTCAAGTCTTCATCCTCCACACCAGAACATGAGATGATGGCAGTTTTCAGGAAATGCTTCAAATACGGTAGTGCAATATACCAATACCCAACCTTTTATTGTTATTTAAAATGTCTGCATATAACATCTCCAAATAACTCTTTATATAACCTAAACTTTTTATTATAAACTCTATCCATAAAAATAAGAGTCCAACAGACTCTTTATTCTTTAAATATAAATTAAAAAGTGAGTTTGACTTTTCACAATTAAATAGTCAAATTTCACTCTCTATCATAATTTTAAATAATAAATTGCAAGTCTCTATGCATTTTATTTATAATTTATCTTTCATATTAAGTTTCTTTCTTATAAAAACATATTCTCTCTCTTAAAATTTTAAGAGTCTATTAAATTTGAATAAAAAATTTACTCTTAATATTTAAAAATCAATAAAGAAACTCTTTATTTATATGAAAGATGCTCTTTAAAATAAAAAAACACCATTAAAGATGCTCTAAGAACATATAATTTATGGTAAAAGGCAACTAATCTCATAAATTTTTGCACAATTTAGAACACTAAATTACAGTTATAGAAAGTACAGTAAAAATTTAATTGGGCATTGAATATAGTTACCTTTGGTACATCTAGAGATTCCAGATTAGGTGATTTATGAAGAAAATATGTCAACGCTAAACTTTTATCACAAATCCGTTCCACCTTCAAATGAGACAAGTTGTGAAAGCCAGATAGACGAGCTTCTAGATAATCTTCTTCTCTGAAAAACTTTGAACGCAGGAAAGAAAAGATAAAAAAAAAATCAATCTCACAATTACACGTCTCTTCAAAGAATTGAATATAATAAATTGCGAAAGGCCATCTACGAATAATTCATAAATAAATATAATTTACAATACCTCAAGAGTAGCAACATACAAAGTAAGAAATTTAACTCAGATAATTCTATCAATTATTTTTAAGGCTCGTGGCATGCAATCCTCTAGCATTTCGTAATAGTCTTGAACATAAATATGTGCATTGGCTTTTGAAGATATGTTACACAAAGATACGTCAACAGTCAAATAACTCGAGCAATCAAAATACTCAAGATTTTCTGCATAAATAAGGACCTCACAATCATGGAGAGTCTCTGTTCGATCTGTGTAAGGGTAATCATCTGGATAGCCATTTTCATAAATATATAATTGTCTTACATAGGGTATATAAATGGTGTCTCTCTCAGTATGCTTCCAGTAGCAGTCGATTAAACCCAACTCTTGTAGAACTGGACAACCAGAAAAGAGTTTCTGGCCTGTATGATCTTCTGGAAATTCAACCGCAAGGTGCAAGGTCTTAAGGTTGGGCAAGTGTATGAAACTTGGAACCACCAGCTTTGAATACGTGAGTAATTTCAGTATGTTGAGTGACTCAGCACTTAAAAGACTATTAGGGAACATGAAGAGTGTTTCAGCAGGTAGGGTAAGGTCAAGCTCTTGTAAAAGGTTTTGTCAGAGAGA